AATCAGCCGGGCATGTGGTGGGCACCTGTAATCCCAGCTACTTGGGAGGCTGAGGCATGAGAATCGCTTGAACCCAGGAGGTGGAGGTTGCAGTGAGCTGAGATTGTGCCACTGCACTCCAGCCTGAGCAACAGAGAGAAACTCCATCTCAAAAGAAAAAAAACAAAAACAAAACAAAACAAAAAAATACACTTTTGTTCCAAGAAACCATATGGGCAAATATGTCAAGGAAAATACAACATGTTTGTTTCCTATGAAGTGAGAAGTTCTGAAGTCAGATTTTAAAACACTGCAAAAGAGAACTGATAAAACATACAAATTGATTACTTAGTAAGAGTGGTTCAAATGCATTGAAATCATCATGCTAAGTGAAAGAAGCCAGTCACAAAAGACAACATACTGCATGATTTATTTAGATGAAATGTCCACATAGGCACACCTAGAGAGGTGGAAAGTAGCTTAGTGGTTGCCAAGAGTTGGGGTTGGCTGCAGGTGTATGTGGGTGGTTTGGTGAGATTGGGGAGTGACTGCTAATCGGTACAGGGTGTTTTGGGGGCTGATGGAAATGTTCTAAAATTGACTGTGGTGATGGCTGCACAACTCTGTGAACGTACTAAAACCCACTGAATTGTGTACTTCAAATGGGTGGATTATATGACATGTGAATTATGTCTCAATCCAGCTGTTTCAAATAGTGGTTCAAAGTGAACGTTACCATGTGAGCTGGCACTTCTCAAATGATCTAAGTCCCCAGTTCCCTCTGTTGGGATCCCATGAATATGGAGTGCCTTAAAATCCCCCAAATTCATAAGCTTCAAAAGCAGGATGCAGGAAGGTTACACAGCAAAGAGCTCTACAGACAAAGGAGGCCACGCTTTATCCGCCCAACAACCTCAGGGGCACAGGATGGTCCAGGTGTGGGGATTCCTAGCTGGGACTCCATGGGACGCTAGGTGGTGGGGTTTGTAAGAAATTTCTGGGGAGTCTTCCCAGATCCTACGTGAAATTCTGCCTGTATGTAGGTGGAGAGCATGTCTGTACCTTTCATCAGCTTCCAGAAGCAGCCTGTCACCCAAAAGGCACTAGGAACCATGAGGTGCATTTGCAGGAACACTTTCCTCCAGCACAGGGCTTGCCACGTGGGAGCAGCGTGGCCTGGCTCCTGGGCCCCTCGCCACCTCAGCCACACTGCCTGAGACTTAGCTCTGAGAGCAGGACCCCTCACCTCCCAGCCACGCTGCCTGAGACTTAGCTCTGAGAGCAGGACCCCTGGCCTCCCAGCCACGCTGCCTGAGACTTAGCTCTGAGAGCAAGACTGGTGGGAAGGTGGGATTTCCAGTTAGATGCTGAGGTCTGCCTCCCCAGTCCAGCTCATCAGTGCATGTCTCAGGGAAGATATTCAAAAACTCAGCCTCGGCTTTCTGCCTATTACATAAGGATGACAACACTCTCTGTGCAGAATTCCATTTAGTGTGGGTTCCAGGTCCTGCTCTCCTCCCTTCTCACCCTTCTCCCCACACTCACCTCCCCCCCTCCACACTCACCTGCCTCCCTCCCCACACTCACCTGCCTCCATCATGCCACCTCTGTGTGTTTGTATTTAGATGTGTATGTGTGTGTGCATATGGGCAGGAGTATATGTGTGTGCATGTGTGTATTTAGGCATGTATAAGTGCGTTATGCATGCATGTATATATGTGTATGTGTGTGTAGTTGTGTGCATGTATTTGTACTTGTATTTAGATATGTATGCCTGTGTATATATGTGCACAAGCATGTAGTATGTGTGGTGTGTGCCTGTGTGCATGTGCATGCATGTATATGAGTACATATGTATGTGCATGTTTTTGCACATGCATGTATGTGTGCATGTGTTTAGGTATGTAGGCATATGTAAGTATGTGTATACGGTGTATGTGTGTACATGCATATTTTTGTATGTATATATTTAGGTATGTGCATGTGGGTGTGTGTACATGTGTGCATGTATATGCGTGCATGTATTCAGTGTGTAGTTATATGTATGTATGTGCATCTATGTGTGGTTATATATTCATGTGTGCATGTGCATTTAGGTGTGTGTGTTGTATTTAGGTATGCATGTGTGTATGCATGTGTGAGCATGTATTCAGGTATGTTGGTATATGTATGTGTGTGCATGTGTGTATGTGTACATATGTGTGCATGTGTGTATTTAGGTGTGTGTTGTATTTAGGTATACGTGTGTGTATGCATGTGTGTGCATATATTCAGGTGTGCAGGTGTGTGTGTGTGCATGCGTGGATGTGTACATATGTGTGTATGTGTGTATCTAGGTGTGTTGTATTTAGGCATGTATGCGTGTATGCTTGTGTGCATATATTCAGGTGTATAGGTATATGGGTGTGCATATGTATGTGTACATACGTGTGCATGTGTATTTAGGTGTGTGTTATATTTAGGTATGCATGTGTGAGCATGTATTCAGGTGTGTAGGTATATGTATGTGTGCACATGTATGTGTACATATGTGTGCACGTATTTAGGTGTATTTAGGTATGCATGTGTGCATATATTCAGATGTATAGGTATATGTGTGTGCATGTGCATATGTATACATATGCATGCACGTATATTTAGGTATGTGTTGTATTTAGGTATGCATGTGTGTGCATATATTCAGGTGTGTAGGTGTGTGTGTACGCATGTATGTGTACATATGTTTGCATATGTGTATTTAGGTGTGTGTGTTGTATTTAGGTATGCATGTATGTATGCATGTGTGCATATATTCAGGTGTATAGGTATATGTGTGTGCATGTATGTGTACATATGTGTGCATGTGTATTTAGGTGTGTGCTGTATTTAGGTATGCATGTGTGTATGCATGTCAGCATGTATTCAGGTGTGTAGGTATATGTATGTGTGCACGTATGTGTACATATGTGTGCATGTGTATTTAGGTGTGTGTGTTGTATTTAGGTATGCACCTCTTGTGTGGGGCTGGAGGAGACCGATGGGGAGGGGAGGGGTACACTGAGCTCTGGAGACACAGGGGTCTGGCTGGGTGTCAGCTTCAACAGCCGCCTGCTGGACAACCTCAGCCTCTGACCAATAAGGAGACAGCCCCACCTCCTGGGGCTGGGGTGGGCAGCAAAGGAGTGCACGTTCACCCTGGGCCAGGCCCACAGTGAGCGCTGGAAACAGCAGTGAGTGCTCTGTGCATAGGAACCACCCATAGCTATGACACCCCACGGTGTCTGGATTCTCCAAAGAGCAGCAGCTGACAGCGGCAGCAGGGACAGGCCTGAGGCTGGCGCCGTGAGATGCACCTCTTTACTGACACAGACTGTCCTGCTCGAAGGCTGCCCTGCTCTGCGCAACGTGCTGCTTTCCTACATGTAGTGAGCTTCTGATAAGCTTTTTCCTTATCACAAAAGGCAAGTCAGTTTTGCAGGATTTCACCTGACAGCCCCTCAGTTTTAGACAAATGTCCCTTTCCGAGCATCTGCTTTGCTACCTGCTGTTTCTGCCAAGCCCAGGGCTATGGTGCCGACAGCAAACCCAGCGTCCTCTGCAAACAGAACACGCGAAGCAAAGCAGAGCTGGCCTTGCCACACCCACCTGCTGGCCCTTCCCGCCGGGAGTTCCTCTACAACCCACAATTGAAAAGAAGCCATTTGATAGAGCCCCGGGGCTCAATAAGGCCTGAATTCAGGTTAAAATGAAGGTGAGACTTACTTTAGATTAAATATTGATTTAGAACCTGAGTGCCAGGAGGCGGGGCAGGCCTACGTGTACAGCAAATGGTTGGTGGTTTTCACCCCTCTCCAGGCCTGGCATATCCGAGAGAAAAAAGTTCAGGACTGATGGGACAACCTCTCTAATTGCTGCTTCAGCTGTTTTTGCCGGTAAGTATGAGAAATGGAGATGGTGCCCCTGTACGGAAGGTGTGTTGAGCCCCCTGCTTGGAGCCCCCTCATGGCTGCCTTGCTGCTTAAAGTCTCTTTGGGTGACACTGCACAGGACGTCACACAGGAAATACACTCCACGTCTGAACTGCTGCACACCCAGGCGCAGGGGAGGCCTGAGGCGGGTAGGCCCTGGGGTCGGGGAGGGAGAGCATGGAGGCTGACACTCCCTCGGGGAAGCCATCTCCCTGGTCCAGCCGCTCGGTGAGGAGAGGAACACATCCCAAGTCTGGGCTCACCCTGAGCCCGATATGTGACCTGGAACTGCCATGAGCAAATCCCTCTTCTTCAGCACAAGCGAGGGAGCTAGAACAGGAGCTCCCTGGGCAGGGTGGGAGGCTGGCAGGGTGGGAGGCTGACAGGGTGTCAGGGGAAGTGAATGTCCGGGGTGAGCAGGAAGCTCCTATCTGTTGAAGGGGTCGCATTTTCTATCCGCCCTGCAGGATCACACCCGCTGCCACTCTAACTGCGGTCTAGAGACCACCAAGTTTTATGGCAACCTATGTTTATCTCTGAAAGTGAAATGGAGAGAGAATGGGCTTCCGGGACAGGAGTCCACACGGGGCAAGTTACTGATCTTCCCTGAGTCCCGCTGGCTCCATCCGTAAGAGGTGGTCTAGGCCCAGTTTCCCCTGGGACTACATGAGCTGGAGCAGGTGTAAGCGACCATCCGACACTCAGCCTGCTGGCACCCAGGCAACACCCACACTTTGCTCTGCAAGGAACCCCTCACAGAGGGCGCCAGCCTTGCGTATCTCTCATTGCCACCTCCCGGACTTGAGAATCAGAACCTGCTCCTCCATGAATCAGCCTTGGAGTGTCTACACTGCTTGAGGCTGTTGTGAGCTCTGCGGGGCCCAGAGCAGGCCGTGGGGTGGAACTTGGGCTCTCTCATGTTTTTCCATCTGCAAAATGAAGGCTTTTGTCCGTGGCTCTGCCTGTGGGGATGTTGTGAGACTCAAATAGGACAAGACAGCCTGAGGAGGCAGAAGTCTCACTGCAGAAGTAGGGGCTGACGATCACTGCCCGGAAGTAGGCGCCCACACTGACCTCGGATTCTGACGCGTCCGCCGACTTCTCCTTGAGGCTCACCCTCTCGGTCAGCACGGCGCCGTTGTACTTGTTGCAGATGTCCTCGTCTGAGTAGTGCAGACCGCCGGGGCTCGGCCGGGGTGGGGACCTGGGATGAGGACCCATGCCGCAATTACCCTCTGGGCAAAAGACGCCCTCCCCCAGAGGCCTCCTAACCTGGCATCTGGCCTTTACTGCGTTGGACTAAGAGGAAGCCCACAGCCTTTAACATCACTCTGGCAACTGATGCAAAAAATTCTGAGCACTGGCTATCTGGTGAGTCAACAGCCTCTGTGTACCTGTGCCTGTCACTTATAGAGACTGTGCTAGGCCTGCAGGCATGAGGGAAGAGTTGGTCTGTGCCAGGAGGAACAGTGACACACTCACATACAAAGAGCACCCTGAGGTCGGGACAGATAGGAGGCCAGGGAGCTTGGGTGCTTGCCAGATGCAGGCAGGAGAGTGTGGAGAGAGGTGAGGATGGAGTCATGAGGAACGGTCTGATCTGCCATGCTAAGGAGGGGAATTGTCTCCTACAGATGAGAGGGAATTGGGGAAGTTTGCACCAGGCCTGGTCTCCCTGTCTGGTGGGACAGCGTTCATCCTCTCTGGCTGGTGGAATTCTCAGATGGTTCCATCACTGTCCCCACCCCCATCATCCCATCCTGTGAGTGTGGGAAGGGCCTGTGACATGCCTCTAATCAGTGGAACATGGCAGACTGAAGTCTGGGTTACGTTAAATGGAATGGGCGAAGGACAGCTACTCCCATCACGCCCATGATCACATGATATTATAGGAGACCCCATCTTGGCGGACCGGAGACAGAGATGCTCTTGCTGGCCTCGCAGAAGCAAACAGCATGTTGTGAACAACCTCTGGAGAGGACCCCATGGCAGGGGACCATGAGTGGCCTCAAGGACATGAGGGCAGCCTCTGGAGAGGACCCCATGGCAGGAGACCATGAGTGGCCTTAAGGACATGAGGGCGGCCTCCAGAGGAGGGCCAAGAAGAGGCTGAGGCCCTCGGTCATGCGGCCACAAGGAAATGCATGCTGCCAGCAGGCTGAATGGGCTTGGAAGAGGATTCTTGCCCAGTTGAGCCTCCAGATGAGAACACAGCCCATCTACGCCTGGATTATACCCATGCAAGGCCATGAGCAGAGGAACTAGCTGAGCTGTGCCCAGACACCTGCCCAAGAGAGACCGTGTGGTGCTAAATAGGTGTTGGTTTAAGCTGCCAAACTTGTGGTCATTTGTCATGCAGCAACAGAAAATGAATACCCTCTTCAGCTCCCCACTTCCTGGAGACTATCTGAGCTGAGTAAAAGCCCAGCTTCTATTTTTCAGATAGAGAACTGAAAACTTGGGGAAAAACTCTGAGTACAACATTGTTGAGTTTTCAAATCAGGCAGGATTGAGTGCTTCTTAGTCCTCCAAAGGGTGTGCAGGGACTTGATAGTGAAAGCAGCCTGTGTGCAGTTAGACAGGCAGCTGTGCACTCAAGGGGACCACGTCCAGGACCTCCAGCATGCTGCGAGGAGTGAGCGCAGAGCTGAATGATGGCTGCATAGGGAGTGTCTTCTCCTCCCTCAATGGGAGAAGTAACGCTGGGTGACCAAGCAAGGAGAGGCTACAGGCCAGGAAACTGGGCCTTGGGTGGAGACTCTGCTGGGAAGGCTGGAGGGGATGGAGACCTCTGGTTTTGTGCCATGGGTGTTGTCTCCCCCAGGGTGTGCCTCAGTTTCTCCTGGAAAGGCCCAGTGAAGGCCCAAGGGCCTTTCTTTCTCTATCTCAAAGGTAATTTACTTTGGGAAAGATGCCATTTCTTATCTAAACATTTGGGTAAATCTTTTTATCTAAGGAGCTAAAATGATGTCTTCCCCACAAAGAAATTGGAAGCACAGATGTGCACTGGGGAGACATAAATCAACTGTGCCTGTATTTCTAAGATATTTGGGGGATGATGCTACGGGACCAATCTCAGGTGTCCCTGCCCAGACACTTCCCCTCTCAGCAGAGAATCCTTTCCTTCAATCACATTTGGGGTCTGATATGGTTTGGCTGTGTCCCCACCCAAATCTCATCTTGAGTTGTGGCTCCCATCATTCCCATGTGTCATGGGAGGGACCTGGTGGGAGGTACTTGAATCATGGGGGGCAGGTTTTTCCCATGCTGTTCTTGTGAGAGTGAATAAGTCTCACACAATCTGTTGGTTTTATAAAGGGGAGTTCCTCTACTAGATAAGCTCTCTTTTTGCCTGCCACCATGTAAGACTTGACTTTGCTCCTCCTTGCCTTCCACCATGATTGGGAGGTCTCCCCAGCCATGTGGAACTGTGAGTCCATTAAATCTCTTTCCTTTATAAATTACCCAGTCTTGGGTATGTCTTTATTGGCAGCATGAGGACAGACAAATACAGGGTCCTATTGCTAGGACTGAAAAGGTGATGGCTTATTTAAAAACCTAAGGGAAGGGTCCATTTTCTTTTGCATCTTAATTTTATTTTGTCCTTGGGTCTTTGTGGGCTGAGTACCTCCAACCTCATCATCAAATGATGTTTCTCTTTCCTAGGAAGATGGACTTCACAAACTGAACGACTGTCTATTCTTGGGCAATGTGCTTCAAGGCTGTGTGTGTCTCTTCTCAGAATTCAGAACAAGACAGATTTATAGCAAGGGAGCAGGGCACATAATATTTTAAAATTCTCTGTGACAAGTTCCTCCTGGCCTTGAAACTACACATGGTTGCTTTTTCATGTTTCTATTACATGGCAGGAAAAACTTGCCTCCCAGTAGACAAAAGAAATGAAAGGTGTGACCAGATGTCACCACCAGCATCCACCTTCAGCCCTAGGGAAGGCCTCGTGGGGTAGTGGCCTGCGGTGCTTTGGACTGGCACCTGTGGGGCTGGCAGAGCGTCAGTGGCTGGGAAAAGGCCTGCCCGTGCCTTGGCACCATCCGAGTGATCTGAGATTTCCAAACTCAGTGGAGGGCGGGGGTGGCCCAGGGAATCTCCAGGCACTGCTGGCCCCTGCAGCTTTGTAAACAATAAAGGGAAGAGGAAACCCTGGGGTCTGTCTGGGTCTGGATGACGTGTGATTTCCACGCCCTTGCAACTGAGTGTAATCCAAGGTGAGTCTGGTTGAGGGAGAGGAGCCTTCTCCAACCCAAGGCTGGGGCGCCCCTGAAAGGCCCCGAGGTGTGTGTTTTCCAGGAAGCATCCTCAGGTGTTTGGGTTTTTCCTTCCAGACACTCAAGACCCCTCCCCAATCCTGGCTCTTCTCCTTCGTCAAGGGTTCTCAAATCAGAGGATGGCGCTCTGCACATCAAAAAGGCAAACCCAGGTCATCCCCTCTCTTGTTTGGGAAACCTTGCTTCCTGCTGGATTTAGGAAAAGGTTTATAAGCTAAGGAGGCTTTGGTGGTGAAAATCCTTCTTGCCTGCACTCACATCCATGTATGGAATGGCGATGTGTATCGGCACGGGAGAACTTTGGAATACAAAGAACAATGAAATCAGCAACAAGCACCAGGTTAGCTTTCGAGGACACCCAGTCGGGCCTGTGGCAGCCCAGATGACACCTCTGTGAACTAGGAACGCCGGGATCCAAGGTGCCCGCGGTTGATACGGAAGGCCAGCCTGCCAGCCCCTGGGTGTTCCAGGTCCTTCCCACACACCTGAGGCCCTCTTTCTAAATCTCCAGAGATGCCCCGAAAATACTTCCAGCCGCTCTGCTGACTCCGTCCCTCCTAGACTCAGGGCTGCCCCTGGTGGTTTGGGATCGCGCTTGGCAGTGGGTTAGGTTTTGCTTCATGGACCCACAAGGTGGGATGCAGGAGGTGCCCGTGGGCGTGGGCTGTCACCCCAACCCTGGCAGCTCAGATCTCCGGGTGGGCGCGGCACAACGCTGGCTGCCTACCTGGTCCCGTTCTTCTTGGAGAAGGTGCTCTTGACATTGAGGTGGCGGCTGCTGAGCTCCAGGGCAGCAAATCCTCCATTGTCCCGGGTCACAGACTCCTCCATGGTGGAGATTCCCTTTCCTAAAGCCCAGCAGGAGAGTGACAACAGATGTGTTATTGGTGTGGTCACTGCAGCCGCACTGAGCCAGAGCTGGCCAGTGAGGCAGCTCCTGAGTCCTGCCGCATGCAGAGCCCAGAGTCGGGGACACCTGCTTCAGCCCCTCTGAGGGCCGAGCTGGGGAGAAAAGCTAGGTATTGATCATAATGTTGGAGCCAAGTGACAATATTAACATTTCAGTGTTTGTTCTGCCTGATCCCAAAATACCAGTATTCTTGCCACTGTTTTATGAAAATAGACTCAGAATGCATAAACTTTTTTTGACTTTTTTGTTTGTTTGTTTTGGTAGAGATGGGGTCTCACTACATTGCCCAGGCTGGTTTCGAACTCCTGGCCTCAAGCAATCCTTCTGCCTCGGCCTCTCAAAGCGCTGGGACTGCAGGCGTGAGCCACTGTACCTGGCCAAGAATGCATAAGCCTTTTAAAAGTCAGGGAAATTAAATATTTAATAAATTCCAAAATAAAAATTCATAATCATTTAGCAAAACAGGAAGTAGAAATAAATGTATGCGAGTGTGACGGCTAAAGAAAGGGTACAGGGCTTCCGTTTGAGGTGATACAAACATTCTAGAATTGACTGTGGTCACGACTGCACATATCTGTGCATTCACCACTGAACCGTACACTTTAAAAAAGAGTAAATTTACAAATATATAGCAAAACATATTCTAAAATATATTAACAGAGCAAATGAATAAAGTTTTGAAAAACCAAACAACATAAAAAAAAATTCCACTAGATTTTGCCATCTCATCCTGCGGGAAAGTCCAAGGCCTCCGAGCCGTCCCCAAGCTTGGCCTGGTCTGTCCACCCTGCCAAACCCCACGTCATCTTCCAGCCCTCAGCCCCTCCCTAACACAGGTTTCTCTCTCGGGGCTCTCCCTCTTGCTGGAAGCTCCTTCTTCCAGTATTTTCCCGGCTTCTTAACCCTTCCTGCAGATCACAGCTCAAATGCCCTGAGACCAAAGAGGACCTCCCTGACCACAAAAAGTGACCTCTGTTTCTCACGCATATTTACTTTGAGGTACAGCCTTAAGTCCACCATGCTCCCCGGTGCCCCGCCAGCCCCCAGGACAGCACCTACACACATACCAGGGCTTGGCAGGTATTTGCTAAGTGTGTTGGCATTTCTAAACCCCAAGAGTCTCCTCTCTGCTGGGACCTGGCCCCCCTTTGACGTGCCTTAAACCTTAACGCTCTATCTGTGTGTAACGGAAGAACACAGAGCAGAAAATGAAAGATGGGCTTGCCTGGGAGAGGGGATTTGGGATGACGAGAGGTGAGCAGGTGGAAACCGAGATCAGTAAGGAATTCAGATGAGGATGGGAGGATAAGGAGCGCAGGAAGGGGTGTCGAGTGAGGCTGTCACCACGGAGGTTTAAGTTTTGCAATGTCTAGTGAGCAGGACGGGAGTCATTCTGGTAGATAAGTATTATTTTTTCCAGGCTTCAATTATGATGTTAAGTTAATACTGCAGGGTGCAGCTGAGCATGGGAAGCTGCAGGTCAGATCTGTGTTTTCAAGTCTGTTTTCCAGATGGAGGAGGAGAGTGAAAAGCAGGGATATTTTCTATGCACCAGACACAGGATTCTGTAATAGCATTAACTCGGGAAAATGACACGCCATTCATACATTGTAAATCCCACAGGAATAAAATCTGATTTACGAACACTTGTTAGAAGTGAATTTATACAGAAAAAAATAAATCCTTTCTTGCAGGGATGAATTGCTTAACATTATAGAAGCAAATAGGGAGGCATTTGAGGTGCCTGGTTTTTTTAACCCCTTTGGCACAAGGATGGTGGGACTTGTGGCCGGGGTCAGGAACCTACTCTGCCTAGCTCCTTGGCCAACAGGGCTAATGTAGCCAGCTCCTTTTTTTTAAAGAATAGCTCATCAGGGATCTGCCTTTCCAAAAAGAGAAGACCCAGTTGATGGGAAAACCTCCAACGAATGAGCTGGGCTCAGGAGGAGGTCTGGCCCAGTGGTAGTGGCAATACCAGAGAAGTGACCACGTGCTTGGGCTCAGCTACAGCTCTGGTAGATGCTCCGTGGGATCAAAACAGGCCATAGGCCAGGTGCCGTGTGTGGCTCACTCCTGTAATCCCAGCACTTTGGGAGGCTGAGGTGGGAGGATCACTTGAGTCCTGGGGTTTGAGACCAGCCTGGCCAACATGGCGAAACCCCGTCTCTATTTAAGAAACAAGACACAGGCTGCGGTCTAGCACTCAGTTACATTCTGGTTATCCAGAGAAGTGGCCTCATTGATAATGATGAGGTTTTTAAAATTGAGGATAATCAAATGCACAAGCTATGCTAATCTTAAGTGGCAGAATGATGCTTTATGATTGTGAACGTAACCACCGTCCACGTGGAGAGACAGCATGTTTAGCACCTGTGAGGCGCTCTCATGCATCTTCCCTGTTTATACCTCTCCACCAACAGGCAAACCTGGAAACTTCCATTCACTGTGGGTAATCCTGGCCTTCATGTAAATGGAGTCACAAGGTCCGTGCTCTCTGTGGTTGGCTTTACCCTACGTTCATTTGTTCCTTTCTCTAATGATAGTGATTCATTCAGCAATAAATGCTTATTAACTGAATGCCTGCTCTGCTGGAGACACAGCTCTGCTCTGGGCCTCAGAGGGCTCAGAGGTGGGCCACAGACATAGGCGAGGTTCAAGCTGCAGTGGGTGAGAAGAACTATGCCATGGAGATGCTTCCATGATAGTCTGTGAGCCACAGCAAAACATCAACATCTGAGGTGTGCCCCAGTCACTGTGTTTATAATATTGCATAGTACAATATGCCACCTGTTTAACACTTTATACTTTTTTTTAATAAGAGACAGGATCTCAGCAGGGCATGGCAGCTCACACCTGTAATTCCAGTACTTCAGGAGGCTGAGGTGGTTGGATCACCTGAGGTCAGGAGTTCGAGGCCAGCCTGACCACCATGGAGAAACCCCGTCTCTACTAAAAATACAGAATTAGCCAGGCGTGGAGGTGCATGCCTGTAATCTCAGCTATTGGGGAGGCTGAGGCAGGAGAATTGCTTGAACCTGGAAGGAGGAGCAATTCTCCTGCCTCAGCCTGGGCAACAAGAGCGAAACTCTGTCTCAAATTAAAAAAAAAAAAGAGACAGGATCTTGCTTTGTTGCCCAGGCTGAGTACAGTGGTGTGATCATGGCTTACTGCAACCTGGATCTCCCAGGCCCAGGTGATTCTCAGCCTCAGCCTCCCAAAGTGCTAGGATTACAGGCATAAGCCACCATGCCCAGACACATCTGGCTTTCTAATAGTATTAAAAAATGTGATTAGACCAGGCGTGGTGGCTCACGTCTGTAGTCCCAACACTTTGGGAGGCTGAGGCGGGCGGATCACCTGAGGTCAGGAGTTCGAGACCAGTCTGGCTAACATGGTGAAACCCTGTCTCTACTACAAATACAAAAATTAGCCAGGCGTGGTGGCGGGTGCCTATAATCCCAGCTCCTCAGGAGGCTGAGGCAGGAGAATCACTTGAATCCCGGAGACGAAGGTTGCTGTGAGCCGAGACTGTGCCACTGCACTCCAACTTGGGTGACAGAGTGAGACTGTCTCAAAAGAGAAAAAAAAAAAGCAATTGCATTTGAACAAAGGTACAGAGTGGGGATCTCTGAGGCTGGATGACTCATACACCCTTATCCAAGACATATAGCTAATCTGAGGGCAGGCAGGGTCAGCATCTGGGTCCCGAGGCGTAGAGCGCTCCCTGGGCTGTGCCTGGCTGCACCCAGAAAGAAAACCTATTGCGTCTCTCTCAGCACCTACAGGCAAATGAAATGGAAAAGCGGACACTGGCCCGGCAGATCCACGAGAGAACGAACGTTGTGTTTTGGCTGAGTAGCATCGTGGGACATGCGAGGAAGGGGCCGGACCTGCACCTGTGCTGCAGTTCTTGTACTTCTTATTCTGCCCGTGCAGGACGAGGGCAAACACCACCAGCAGGATGACGATCAGGCTGGACAGAGCCATCACCAGGAGAAACCACCACTCCTCGTAGAACGGGGCTTCCACTTGAGCTGCGGAAAAGATACGGACACACAGTGATGTGGGGCAGACACTCCAGCTGCAGTCACCTCCCGTGGGCCACATGGGCGGCGGGGAAGCCTGCGGTGGATAACTCCTGGTTACAGGTGAGAGGAAACCATTGTCCAGCCGGGCCGGTGGACTTTTCCCATGGGACAAGCTCAGGAGGCTCCCATGGTCCTCAGCAGGCCTTGGGAATTCCGCAGCCGCCATTTGCCACCTTTTCTGTGGAATCAGGCTCAGGGCTCCTCTGTCCTCCAAGCCGCCCCTGCCCTGGAGACTTCAGTATCTTTGCCCTTGCCCTGACCTTGCCCACTAAAACTGCCCTTCCTACTTGCTCTCTCCTATTTTCATCCGTTTAAAAACACTGCCTGATCCGGTGCTATGTAGCGAGATCCCATCTCTAAAAACACAAACAAAAGACAAAACAAACAAACAAACAAACAAAAACCAGCCAGGCACAGAGGCATGTGCCTGAAGTCCCAGCACTGTGGAAGGCTGAGGTGGGAGGATTGCTTAAGCCCAAGAGTTCAAGACCAGCCTGGGCAATATAGCAAGACCCCTTTCTCTACAAAACATTAAGAATATTAGCTAGGTGTGGTGGCACACCTGTGGTCCCAGCTACTCAGGAGGCTGAGATGGGAGGATCGCTTGAGCCCAGGAGGTAGAGGCTGTAGTGAGCCACGATCACACCACTGCACTCCAGCCTGGGTGACAGAACAAGACCCTGCCTCCACAAAACAAGCAAGCCAGCAAACGAAAACGTTGTCTGGGTTAAAGTGAGGATAGAACAAAGCGCCCAGACGTCCTTCTCTCTCCTGGTGCTGGGACATCCCAGAAGACGGCTCCAGGTCCCCTGCCTTCTCCATCACCACCTCCTGCCTGCACACGACACTCACATTCCACCTGTTATACCTCCTCCTGTCTTTCTCAGATTCATCCTTTACATCACCTGAGAGAGATCTTCCTCAGAGAGAAATCAGTTGCCCCCCTGTTAAAATCCTCAGTGGTTCCCATCAGCCGCGGGGTGAACCCTGAGCCCACAAAGCACCCCAGGACCTGCCCCTGCCGACTGCATGTGTGCAGAAGCCCCCACTGGAAACACGCACTGTGTGTATTTCTCTACCTGTTGGCCCCTTCGCAGACCACAAACCCCTAAAGCCTGGGGCTGTGTTTTATTTATTTTCTGCCTCTAGCAAAACCGAGCTGAATGACTGGACCTCTCTTTAGATGTGTTTCTGAGAAATGAATGGGAAAAAATGCATTTAAAGGCAGCTTTGAAGGATGCTCTTCTTCCTTCTGTCTCATTCTGCTCGCTAAGAACAGAAAAGCGGGCAATTGTATCTTGATGGGTGCTGGGTGGTCCCGGCGTCCCATTCAGGGCCTTCTATGGGCCAGGAAGGGGAGTGGGTTCTGTGGCACTGGAAGCCCCTCAGAACACAAAGCCTCTTACAGGCAAAGCCCAAGTGTTGGCCCCCAGCAGCCAGAACCCTTCCAAACACAACCAGCCGAAGCTTCTATCCTATATCTCATGAATAGGGGATGTGTGCACATCAGGAAGAAAAGCAGGGAATCGGCTTTGGTTAATGCAGGTTCACAGGGCTCCTTAGGAGGTGATGGTGCTTTAAATCCAAAAGACAGAAGTGGGTTTGCGGGCTGTGCATTCAGTACTCCAACAGCAAGTCCGACAGATGCCACACTGACACCACCGGCCAAGTGGCCCAGAGTGGGCCTGGCCCTAGCACCTGGCAGGAAAGAAAGGCCAGGCTGTTCTGGAGGACTCTCACATGGGGCAGGACGTCCCAGCTGCCGGGCCTGGCCTGGTCCTGATGCCAGCAGGTGATGGTTGCTGGCTTCCCTGAAGGATGCGATGAGCTCAGTGCGGTCCAGCTCACAGCAAGGCCAGCTCCGCGTGCAATGGAGTGTCAGAGACGCCTGAGCCACAGGCCCCGGGAAGTGGGGTCAGGGTGCATGCTCCGCATGAGGAACCGGCATGTAGAACTGCTCTGTATCCATTTCCACAGGTAAAGCTCATGCAGCAAATCTTGGATCTCTGAATTGGGATGAGGGGTGCTGGGGGTTCCTCATTCTCTCTACTTTGGGGTACATTTAAAATATTCATAATGAAAATTAGGGAAATGAGAAATCTGTGCTTTTTCTAAATCTTACTCATTAAAAAATTAAGTGATTAGCCAGGCACCGTGACTCACTCCTGTAATCCCAGCACTTTGGGAGGCCAAGGCAGGCGGATCACTTGAGATCAGGAGCTCGAGACAAGCCTGTCCAACAGGGTGAAACCCTGTCTACTAAAAACACAAAAATTAGCCGGGCGTGGTGGCACATGCTTGTAATCCCAGCTGCTTGGGAGCTGAGGCAGGAGAATCACTTGAACCCGGGAGGCGGAGGTTGCAGTGAGCCAAGATCGTGCCATTGCACTCCATCCTGGGAGACAGAGCGAGACTCCATCTCAAAAAAAAAAAAAAAATAAATAAATCAGGGGGTTCTCTGGGTCCCTTTCTCACAGCCCCTCTTACAGAGTGACCCCGGAATTCAAGCATGTTCCCAGGCCAGCGTACCAGGCTTAGGGCCCACGCTCACCCACAGGCGAGCACAGGGTCCTTCCCCCAAACTCATAGCACACAAAGGACGAAGACTAAGTTCAGTTTCAACAAGTGCGGTCAGTAGCTCAAGCAGCTCTAACGCAGAGGAGAGGAACAGCTTCTTCCTGATCCCAGGAGGAGGACCAATGGAGCTGGCCCTGCCGGGGCTTCTGGCTGAGGCTCTGCTGCCCCGACCCCGAGGCCTCCCTGCCCTTCGTGCTGCTGAGAGCCCCTCTCCTCAAACACAGCCCAGCCCTCTCTGAACCCCCGGTGCCCTGGCTCGCAGCCGGTCTGCACAACGGAATCACCGTGTGGTAAAGAAAGTCATGCCTGGAGCCACGGAAGTCACTGTCTGGGGTGAGGGGACAGCGAGGGTGTGTGTTTAACCTTCTCAAGCAACCCGAAGGTACAGCCAGTGTTCAGTCCCTAGGCACATGGGGGATCGGGGGGGCATGACCGCGGACCAGCTTTGCTGCCCCTCCCTCTCCAGCTCCCCCACCCACGGCTCTTCAATGACCAGGACTTTTTCTCCACCACCTTCTGCCTCCTGCAGGTGTCCCTTCCCCTGTGGCAGGCTTCGGGCACCTTCCTGATTCCCAGGCAAGGTCATGGCCCCCGCCCTGTGGGTCATAACCCCTGCCATGACTGCTGACTGCAGACACGTCTGTCATCTAACACGGCTGCCCTGGGGGAGGAAGCCCTGCCCTGGCCTTCTCTGCCACTCCCCCGAGAGCAGACCTGGTCCTGGACCCAGGGTGGCCTCTGGAGCCTGCAGCACCTCACAGCAACGAGCACGCAAAGAAACGCCTAGCCCGGGAGCGGCAGTACCTCCACCTGCACGCCATCCTCAGGGACGGCGATACTGCTCGCCTTGTGCCCAGAGCAGCTACTGTCCCCAGCCCCTCCGCTGGCTCTCTGGGAGGCCCCGGGAAGACATGACCTCTTGTCAGGCACTCGTGGGCTCCCCCATGGCTGCTGGGGTGGTTCTTGTCCCTCCAAAATCACACGTGCTCCCCGGCAAGGACGCACCAGCTAATAGAGGGGCTCGGGGCCCTGCTTTCCTTGGGAATGCCTTTGCCGCAGAGGGGACACCACGTGACTCACGCTCACGCCTCTGACACTTGCGTGTGTCTCTGATTTTAAAAACTACGAGGAAACACATTAGGAATTGCTGGAGCACAGCGTGGACACAGAGCCCATAAGGGGCCTTGCTGGTGGTGCTGGGGGAGGCTCCGGGGCCTGGGGTCCTGCCAGAGGGCAGCAGGGAGCTGCCCAGGAGGATGGGTGGCACTGGGGAGGTGTTGGAGACTGACACTGCTCTCCCCGCCCGCATATTCTCTGAGCAGAACCTCAACCGAGCTGGAGACACCTAAAGCAGCAAGTTCGTGTCCCCTTCGTCCCCCTCGACTCCATTTCTCCCTCTAGTCCTTCAGAAGAAGACAGACCTCCCTGGGAGGGCCTACCTGACACGGCCGTGGAGGGGCTGCTGGGCTCCCCGTAGCCCACCTCGTTCACAGCCACCACCCGGAACTCATAAGTCACGCCTTGCCGGAGCTTATCCAGGCTGAGGGTGTAGGATGTGGCACTCCGTGGGATGTCCTTCACAAACATGTCCCATAAGCCTTCATCTGCAAAAGGGATGGGGAGGCGAGGGCAGAGTTAGGAGTGCGAACTCCCAGGTGTGAGCCCCACGCACCTGCCCGGTGGGTCAGCTTGTGGCGACCTGGATGAGGCATCAGAGGCACTGGATGCGGAATGAGTGCTGAATAGGGATGGAGTCTCAGTTTTGCAAGTCAAAGAGTGCTCTGGAGACGAATGGTGTGCTGGTTGCAGAACAGTGTCGGTGTGCTCAATGCTACTGAACTTGAAATGGTCACAGTGGGAAATGTTAGGTTATGTGTATCTCTCCACAGTAAAATACATATATGTATGGAAACCTCACATATAGGAAAACATGAATACACTTGAAATTAAAGCCATTAATAAACTTAAAATTAAAATCAGACATAGAGAGGAAGTTAGAGGCACATGAGTTGGGTTCTGAGGCATCTCTCTAGCCACAGAGCAAAAGAAATGTGATCAGTGAGATCTGTCATAAAAAACCATGGTGAGCTGGGCATGGTGGCTCATGCCTGTAATCCCAGTACTTTGAGAGGCTGAGGTTACAGGACTGCTTGAGCCCAGAGCTCAAGACCAGCCTGGGCAACACAGGGAGACATCATATATACGCACAATTTTAAAAATTAGCCAGGCATGGTGGCAGGCACCTGTGGTCCCAGGTACTCAAGGGGGTGAAGCAGGAGGATGGCTTGAGCCTAGGAGGTTGAGGTTGCAGTGAGCTGAGATTGTGCCATTGCACTCCAGCCTGGGCAACACAGTGAGACCCTATCTCAAAAAACAAACAAAAAAAGAACTTTGCAATTGTTATGACTTCACATTACAACATAAAAAGAAAAAAGGAAAAAAAGAAATAAAAAACTTATGACACTATAACATCAGGGCAGAAAGGGCTGATGGAGCCTGGAGCTAGACAGCCTCTTTGCCAAGCCTGGCCCCAGCAATTCAATTAGCTGTGTGACTTTAGACAAAGAACGGAACCTCTCTGACCCTTGCCTGTAGAATGGTGATAACAAAGGCATCTTTGTCATAGATTTGCTTCAAGGATTAAATAAGTTAATATTTATAAAGTGCTCAGGACAGTGCCTCACACATAGTAAGTGCTGCACGTGTGTTTGTGAAATAAAATATAAATTTAATTCTAAGGAGGTTGTTTGGTAAAAAAGTAGGCTCAGAGGTCAAAATGTTCATTTGAAGTAGCAATCCTTCATGAACTGTATTTGTTTTTCTAGGCTCAGGTATGAGACCTTTTACAAAGCAGGAAATCTGGTGAGGGAAAACCCATTTGGATATGTGTGTACCCGTGCTGACTGCCTTATGGGCACTGAGACTGCTCCGGAAACCAACCTTATCACCCACCTGCAATCACCAGGTACGCTCGGATGGATTAGCCCAACAGTAAACAGGCAGAAAATTGCTATTGTATCAGTCTGTATTTGCAGAGGATTTAGAATTTGCACCGACTAAGTCCTTACAGTCACAGGTTAACGAGGAGTAGACGTGAATGAGATTTGAAAGGTACAAATCTCTGCACTGGCAGAAAAGTAGTATAACACTGATCTTCCCTCCCTCCCTCCCTCTCTGCTTGCTTTCTCTCTCACTCTTTCTTTCTTCTTCCTCCCTTCCTCCTTTCCTTTTTTTTTTTTTTTTTTGAGACAGGGCCACACAGGCTGGAGTGCATAGTGCAATCACAGCTTACTGCAGCCTCGAACTACTGGACTCAAGAGATCCTCCTGCCTCAGCCTCCTGAATAGCTGGGACTACAGGTGCCTGCCACCACGCCTGGCTAAGTTGTTAATTTTTTTTTTTTTGTAGTGACAGGGCCTCTGTATGTTGCCCAGGCTGGGCTCGAACTCCCAGACTCTAGCCATCTGCCCGCCTTGGCCTCCCAAAGTGCTGGAATTATAGGCGTGAGCCACTATGCCTGGCCATTATTTCTAAATATTCTCATTTACAGCCATTTCTCACCAAGATGCTCATCACCATTAATAGTGTCAGAATGGCAAGCCAGAGCCTAAGCCTACCTTCTTCCTCCTAGGATGCTGAGGTTCACACACAGATTGCTGGCTGTATGTAGTTTATGCTGGTTGTATGTGGTTTATATTGTCGTACGTGAGTTTGGCTTAAGAATGGTCAGGGAAGGCTTCCGCATTTACTCTGCACAGGCCTCCTCTTGGCCTGGGGAACTGCTGCCCCCTCCTCCCCTGCCTCACTCCCTTATTCATCCACAAATGCTGTCCACTCTTTGGTTAGGCCCTGTGCCATCCATCAGGGAATCAGATGAGACTGCTGTTGACTGCTGTTCTAATGAGCTACCCACAGCCAGTGGACAGGGGATGGTGGAAAATCAAGAGTCCTTTCCTCATCTTTTTGAGGCCAACCTCGACCCCACCCCACGTTCCAGGAAGGGACGGCTGCTTCCACCAACGGGCTTCTAAAGCCCATCCGCACATTTACCTGCCTGTTCACACCATCAGGCTTAGGATCATCCAGCCACCCATCCATCCATGTAACCATTCATCCATTCCATTCTTCTTGCCTTCCCTCCAGCTATCATCTATCCATCCATCCTTCCATCCATCTTTCCATGATCCATCCTCCCATGTAACCATCCATCCACCCATTATCCATCCATTCTTCCTTCCTTCTCTCCATCCACCATCCATCCATCCATCCATCCATCCATCCATTTTTCCTTCCTTCCTTCCATTCATCCATATAACCTACCTTCCTTCCTTCCTTCCCTCCCTCCCTTCTTCCTTTCCCCTGCCCTCCTCCCCTCTTCCCTCCCCTCCCCTGCCCTCCCTTCCCTTCCCTCTAGCCATCCATCCATCCATCCATCCATCCTTCCTTCCTTTCATCCATTCATTTATCCACCCACTCACCAATCCACCTATCCATCCATCTATCCATTCATCCATCCATCCACCCACCCACTCATCTACCTACCCATCCATCCACCCACCCTTCCTTCCTTCCTTCTTTCCTTCCTTCCTTCCTTCCTTCCATCTATCCATCCACTCACCCACTAGCCACCCACTCAGCCACCTACCCATCCATCTGCCCACCCACCCTTCCTTCCTTCCATCATCCATCCATTTTTCCTTCCATCCATCCTCCCATCCTTCCCACCCCCAACCCCCCCATTCTTCTTTATATCCCAAGGCCTTTCTCAGGGTCTAGTACAGCAGGCTTTCAATAAATAACAACCACCACTATTTTATTTACTGCTTACTATGAGCAAGTCAGTATTTTAAGGGCTTTAAATATTGAATGAATTGTATTTTTCCTCTAAAAAGATAGGCAAATTTATGTTGTAATAGACACTAAAGATCAAATACAGACTCATAAACTGGGTGTTGCTTAAAGCCATTGAAATTAAAGCACTAAGAAAGTGAAGGATTTCTTCAGACCGTTCTGAGAAGGTCTGAACACCTCTGGAGTAGATTCTCTGAATGTCTTTTGCATTAATGTTTCTGTAATGCTTTCCTGCTCCTGAGGAAAAAAAAAAATGATTCTCCCTTCCTGTACCATCACCTAAAGGCCACATTTTATTTTAAGCGTTCTGTCATAGCTCCACGAATTGTGTGCATTTTTCATAATAACATTTTAAAATATTGATACAGAATCTTAACGCAGAACGATTTAGCAATCCATTTACACTCAAAAATGTTGGGGGAGGGGGAATGTCATACCGAGAATTTCCTTCTGAATTAACAGAAGAAAATGCTCCCATTTTTATTCTGCTTAATTCTGCCTTTCCCAAATTAGCATATATTCCACTACAGCTATAATTCACCAGGCTACTTATCTTGTACTAATATTTACACCATGATCACAAGTGGGTAAGAAAAAAATCTGGCAGCTGGTAAGGCGTCCACTCTGTTTCTCAACTGTGGATTATTTTTCTCATTTGTATTACGTTGTTAAATATCTCAATAAATCAATGATGGAGAAAAGTATCTCTACAAATTGAGGGGAAAATAACATTACAGAACTATTAGCAAAAACCAGATTTGTGCAACCGATTTTTCCATGCTCTGGACAGTCCCCAGTGCCTGGATTTCCATCTCAATCAACACTCGAGAGGACAGCAGGGCCTCATCCCTTTTAAAGGCAATTCTGTTGCACACAGTCAGCCGCTTGTCAATCACCCAGGCTAGGCTCAGCCCTCTAGGATGTCCAGAAGAGCCAGCCTGGTTTCTCTTCCCCACTGAACGAGCTGTGCTGCCATTGCAGGAAAAGCAAGGGCCAGGCACGGTGGCTCACGCCTATAATCCCAGTACTTTGGGAGACTAAGGTAGACAGATCACGAGGTCAGGAGTTCAAGACCAGCCTGACCAACATGGTGAAACCCTGTCTCTACTAAAAATACAAAAATTAGCTGGGCACAGTGGCATGCGCCTGCAATGCCAGCTACTCAGGAGGCTGAGGCAGGAGAATCGCTTGATCCCGGGAGCTGGAGGTTGCAGTGAGCTGAGATTGCACCACTGCAGTCCAGCCTGGGTAACCGAGTGAGACTGTTTCAAAAAAAAAAAAAAAAAGAAAAGCAGTGCCCAGCTGGAAGAGAACTGTCGTGACCCCTGAAAAGCCACACCCCCAGATCACTGATCCCCCAAAATGACTGATACATGCATCGAGCCCCCTGCTGAGGCCCAGGCTTTGAACTTCCTGTGGGGCAACGTCCACCTCTGGGCTGGACCTGCCACTTGATGTCTGTGGAAGGAGGAGGTGCCCTTGCGGTGGAGTGACTGCAAATCACACCTGTCTGTTGTGCTTGGTCTTTCCTTCCCGGCTGCCCGAAAGAACACCTTCCTGGACTCTTGTTACTGAAGCACCATTGGATAAATACCACTAAGAAAGTGGGAAGCCACTGAGAAAGGGACTTTGCAAAATACTCCGAAAGAAGCCACACTGTCACCACAACCTCCAATCCTGTCCACCTCAGAAGGAAGGCTGAGGGGGAAACAGCAAGAGCCCATTCAGCTCCCCATTGAGGTGGCTTTTCTTT